TCATGTTATAAAGGCATTCAGGTTCAACTTATACACATGTACATATGTATTTTTTCAAACGACTTGGGAGTTTTAGTGTCTTGTCCAAGTGCTACCATATTAAGTGGCAAAGTACCAGCATCTGAACCCGGCTTATCCACTTCCCATGCCAAAGCCCTCTGCACTCTACTGTGGCCCCCAAGGTCACACAGCTACTGCCCACCAGCTAACACAAAATGGCATATAAAGAAGGGGTAAAGTATGTGATCCAGACCAATGGTTCCCAAATGTGGCTGATTCATTAGAATTATCTGAGTTGCTTCATAAAAATACAGATCACCCCACCCCCTTCCAGGCCACTGATTATGTTGGTCTGAGATGAAGCCCTGAGATTTGTATTTTCACACACTTCTCATGATTCTCATCATTTGTCTGCTGTACCATTTACAGAAAGCTAAAAAACAAGGGCTCAAACATGAAAGACCATCTGGAGCTTGGGTCTGCATCAACAGAATGTTAAAGGAGAAACACTAAAGAGGTGGCTATGTCCCAGGAGTGTTCACGACAGTGAGACCAGCGGGTCAGCGCCAGAAGACAGGATGGGGAGTGATCAAAGGGGGGATAAGTAGGAAGGAGCAATACGATGAGCATCTTACAAATCTGGCAGAGATATTTAGACTCCATGCCATGTAACAAGAAACACGGAGGTCTGCGGACCATGGGAACACCATCAGAATGGTACAGGATAAATCAAACAGTAGGTGAGCATCTGGACCAGGAAGAGCAACTACAAAGCACAGGTCTCAAGAAAGGGCACAGGCCCCAAGAAAGACAAAACTGACGGGGAAAGCTACCTAGATCACTAAAATGTGAGCTGCAAGAACACAGAGGAGTTAAGCCCGGTTTGCTCAATGCTTTATTCCAGGCACGTAGTAGGTGCCGAAGTGTATTTGTGGAATGAACCACACGTAGGTGGAGTTAGCAGTCCACTGAACGTGGAAGTCAACAAGGTGGAATGAGTCAAGGAGGTCATCAAGATTCAACTCCAAAAGACTAGAATTAAGATGATGGTACTGGCCCAACTGACTAAAAAAGGTAAATAAGAGTAGCTTATTTTCAGCAAAGACTCTTCTTCATTACTTCTTGCTTTTTTTCTCTCTCTAAAACTTTATTTTGACTTCTGCTCCATGAAAGAATCGGGTGATTTTGAGATACCGGAATGTACCGTTGACGGTGGTAGAAATGGCAGGTCTTCTTCCATGGTGAGAAGAAAATGATGGGTGAGATGATTTAGTTTTGATTTTTGGCAATGGAAAAGGGACAGTGCTGTGAGAATCTAAACTCAGATGACATTCCTCACACCGTCTATTGGATCACTGCCAGCTGACATGCCAGGAACATAGTGGCTTGACCAGACTCCTTATAAACCTTAATGACAGAGCTGTCTGTGTTCTGTGCAGCTGGCTCAGCCTCAGGGCTTTGCCAACCTGGAAAGACTCCGCGCCACCTGCGGCTGACTGGTCAGGTCTCTGGGAACTTCTGGAGAGCTGAGAATTAGTCCTGCCCAGGAAAAAACTTGGTGATTTTTTGAAATCCTTTCCAAACTCATGATTATTCAAGGCGCCATGTGAGTAAACATGTTACACAGTCCTTCAAAACTGGATGTACCAGGTCCCAGAAGTAGGAATCGGAGGGCATACTCTAATTCCTTTTAGGACATCCGTCTTTTGCAAGCCTGATCTTACAATATCTTTCTTTCCTAAATGATGTCTACCTACTGCTAATATCCAACTAAGAGAGAAACAGCCGAGGTTTTTATAAAATTCCCTAGCAAAAGTAATTTGTTTCATTACCAGCACAGCCAAAATATATTTTTTTACGGAACTGAAAAACGTTATATGGTCCCAATTTTATTTTTCTTTCTTCTTTTAAAAAAGATTTTATTTATTTATTTGAGAGAGAATGAGAGAGAGAGAGAAGGAGCAGGGGGAGGGGCAGAGGGAGAGGGAGAAGTAGACTCCCCGCTAAGCAGGGAGCCTGACATGGGGCTGGATCCTGGGACTCCAGGATTATGACCTGGGCTGAAGGCAGATGCTTAACTGACTAAGCCCCCTAGGTGCCCCTTATTTTTCTTTCTAATGCAAACTTTCCAAAGCCTGCCTTTCATAATGCACTGAGAGGTAACCCATGAGTCCAAATGACTTGACAGTTTCTTTTAATTTACACACATTGAAACGTGTGTATAAAATTCCCTTAGTTCAAAACACTCCCTTTTCTTAAACATATTTCCAGTTCAAATGATGTTTAGAGCCGTGTGCAATATATTATTCCTAAAGGTAAACAGTCACGTTTAAAAAAAATGGATAGAAAAACAGCATATCACTACCTCCACACTCAGTCAGTCCTTCCCCTCACATGGTGTTCCCGCAGTGAAAGCCTTAACCTGCCGGTGGAAAGTATGAATGCATGACCACGAACATTCCCTGCTCTCTCCAGCATCCAGAAAGGAAGGGCCACCAGTTTCTTTTCACAGTCAGCTTGGAACCTTCGTTCCCAAGAACCTTTGTGCCACGCACCCCCCCACCCCCCACACACACACCTTCCCTTGTGCTTAGTATAACACTCAAGAATTCACTAACTGCAGACATTTTTCCTTTTCTCCTTTTAAACACAGATTTTGAGCTCAGTCAACCACCACTTCTCCCAGGAAACAGCTGTCGTTTTCACATTAAAATAAGAGGTCCTGAAAATAACATGCTCTAACAGCTAATTGTTGAAAAATGAAGTCTTTCAACTTCACATACATTGAGGCTGCTAGGCATCAAACGGAGACAAAAAGTAATTTAAATGGACTAGTGGCCATCCTGGGCTTTGAAATAGCCTAACAAAGACTCTCTGCTAGAGTGTCTAAACTGACATTTTAAAAATATCTAATCACCTTTTTGGATGATATTCCAATTACTGAAGAGAGTATCTACCACAGTGAAGGAGCTTGCCGTGAATGCATCTAAACCTGGTCAGAAATGAGAAATATTAGAACCGCAAAAACAGAGTTCAGGGGAAAGGTGTCACCAGAGAGGAGAATAATTCAGGCAAAAAGCTTCCTTAAAGAGCACCGTCAGATTTATGCAAAACTCCAGAGAGCCAGAAGATAGAGACATTCTGGAGAAACCCCAAACAGTAACACTTCCTAGCAAATCCTGAACAGGACTCAGCGATAAAAGGACTTCCTTAACCCTGTACAGCCTTCCAGGCAGGCTTCTTCTGAAAACCTTTAGAGGGAGTTCTCCCTTTGCCCTGTTTTGAAACAAGATGAGCAATCATGTTTTTTTTCTGAAATAAACAGAATCTCTCCCTTTCTGTGGACAGAGAGCCAAAGTTCGTAACTGGCTGGGAGATTACCAGTCCCAACGGATGAAACGATCCTTTGCCAAAGAGAACTACTGATAAGGCTCGGAGTTCTATTTTACAGCCCAAGCACCCAAATACTCATCTATGCTGTACAGTGTACAATTCTACCCGCTCTTCAATCTCAAGGAACGTTGGGGGACCTGCTAGCACACACAGAGGCTCCCACACCGATGAAAAATGCCCGTCTGCTGCTCAGTGCCTAAGAGGTTTCCCACTCCTAACTGCCTCAACTCCAAAAAAGGGGGTGTGGGGAGAGAAGGAGAAGGGAAATAATATTCCAAAGGCGAGGGGGAAAAACTCACAAAACCACCCCTGGGCAAGTCAGGAGGTGGCAAAGGGAGGAGATATGGCAACCAGAAGGGCCAGAAACGGCTGCGCTCCCTAACCGAAGCTCCAGAAGGCGCCGAGGCTGCAGACAGAACCGGGGGTGCTGGGCTTCCACCTAGCCGGGCAAAGCTCGGGGCGCCCAGGTAGGGGCCGCCACCGACAAGAAGCCCAGGAGGCAGTTCCCTTCAGAGGGCGCTCATTGGGCGACGCAGGGAAACCAGCTCCGGCCCCAGAAAGGCAACCCAAAGAGGGAGAACCCAAGTTCCCGCAGCCGCGGCCGGGAAGGGAGGCTGGGCGCCCGCAGCCCGCCCTACCGGGCGAAGGGATTCCTCCGGGCCTCGGAAGCACCCCTGCCAGGGCCCGCGAGGGCAAGCGTGGCAAGCTAGAAGCCTCGGAACCCCGAAGGGCCCGGCGACCCGAGGCCGAGCTTGGCGTCACCCGCACCCCGCCTCGCCCTGCACGCTCCACTCCACTGCAACCCGTATTAACATGTCCTCCTGCCCCTGAGGGCCTGCGGGGCCGCCCTGCGCCCCTCAGGGAGGAGGGGGGCGCCGCAGGACTGGGATTCCAGGGGCCCGGGCCCCAGCATTTTCCGGCGCGTTCCGTGCACACCCCCCCGCCCCCGCGGACCCGGGACTGGGCCTCAGGGGGTAGTCAGCCTTTCCACGAAGTGTCTGCTACCTTGCCCAGCCGCCGAGAACATCAAACAAAAGAACTTTTGCAAACTTTCCTCTCCGGACACTCTCAGGTTTCTGAAATCGGGACCCCATCTCCTCACTACCAGCATTCAACCGACTAAGAAAGCTAGCTAGCGTGGGGGATGGTGTGTGGAGAAGGGGACCCCAAAGTTTCCAGGTTGTCCCTGGGTCTAGCCGAGCGCGCGGAGGGGGCGGGTTCCCTCGCTGGCCCTCCTCCGGCCGCTCTGGCCACCCTTTTCCCTAGGTCCTTCTCGGGCCACGCCGCAAGACCCCTGCGACGGCGAAGAAGTTGGGAGTGACTTCAGGGGCCTCTGCGGTTAGACAAAACTGCGATTCTCGCGCCCTCATCCCCGGGGACCTCGCAACTCCGGCGAGCCGCACTTTTCTGCGGGAAGAGAAGGCAAGGGGGAAAGGGGTGGAGAAGCGAGCGCATTTGTCCCAGTAGATTCTCGGGGGCCGAGCGCCAAGTCCGGGGGGGGAAGGGATCCCCCAGGCGGCGCTCCCCGATTCCCCGCGGGTGCTGCGGACTCCCCATGGCTGCGAGCACCCGAAACGGCTCGCGCTCCCCGCTCCGAGTCCACTCACCGACTCCGCCGACACGCAGGCCACCAAGACCAAGGTGAGCAGGATCCAAGCGCGCCGCATATTCCCCGGGGACCGGCTGCTCCCAGCCGCCGCTTGCAACGAGGGCGAAACGAAGCCTACTGCCTAGCGCCCGGCGCAGCCGGTGCAAAGAGATCCGGGCCAGAGCAGCCGCAACGGCCGCGGCTGGGGCTCCCGGCTCGGGGGCGCTCGCTGGCTCCTCCTGCGCCTGCTCCCGCCGCCCGCGGCTGCGCCCCGGGAATGCGGCGCCTTCTCACTTGTTGGTGGCTGCACTCCCGAAACCGAGTTGTTGCTCTGGGGAGGCTGCTCTCTCGAGCTCTTCTTGCTCTGCCGCTGTTTTACTCCTCCGCGGACTCCTTCCCAGTGCCGCGGTTCAGTTGCTGGTTTTGAGGAATAAATTAGATGGCTTGGAATGTAGCTGCAGCTGAAGTTCGGGGGCAGAGCGCTGAGAGCGCGCGATCCGCGCGGCTGGAGCTCCCGGAGTATCTGGAGAGAAGCGCGTCCGAGCCGCGCTAGTGGCTCAGCGGCTGTGCCCCTCCTCCTCTCCCGCCACCGCCTCCCGCCCCCGGTCCTCCTCCTCCTCCTGTTCTCCTCCCGCTCCCTCCTTCCCTCCCTTGCCTGCTTCTCCCCAGCTCCTCCGGGCGTCTAGGGGAGAGGAGGCGGCAGTGTGACTCCCAGCTAAACCCGGGAGAAATTCCTACAGGATTACGCCCCGATTGGCAGCTTCGGGGACCAGTGGGCGGCGGTGGCTCCGCCCGGTGGCCGCTCTGGATCTGCTCGTCCGCAATCAGAGCTCCAGCGCTCCAAAGCTCCTTCGTTTTCTCCCTCCCTCTCTCCTCTTCCTCTCTCCTTCACGCTCTTTTCTTCTCTATGTTGTCTCTCCACTCTCACTCTTCTGGCGAGAGATCGGTGAAACAACGGGACTCATAATTTAGCTTTTCTGCCTGTGAGAAGTAGACCAGTAGAAACTGCTTTGAGAGTTGTTAAAACATACACAAACTTCACAGATGCCTACAAGCATTGTGAACTGGTCGTTAAGTCACAACTTCATGAAAATTGTGTTTTAAAAGAGGAGACAATAAATGTAATAAACGTGCCGTGAGAGTATTTCCCACCCTCCCTAAACCCCCCTTCAAAAAAAATAATGAAAATAAAAAAAGTGAAGGAAGACCCCTATAAGCCCAAAAGGCAACACTTTTAAGGTTCATAATTTCATTAAGGATTTAAATACCATTTCTACCTCACACACAGTTTAAAAGCCCCTAAATCATTTTATAGGCTCCATTTCAGCTTAGGGGTGTTAAAGTTCGGAAGCTACAAATAGGGCAGTTTGATGAGAAATTGGATAGAGACACTGAATAATAACAGATTTAAGAGAACGTCAAAGAAAAGAGAGAAAAAGTAATTTCTAGTTGGAAGAAAGTAAGGAGCATGTATTTCCTGAATAGAAGTAATTGATCAGAAATATTTTGTGATGGAAACTTTCTTTCAATTCCGTGTCTACGGTATGGATACTGCAGAACATGGCAAATACCTATTCTCTTCCAGTTTGTAACACTATTTTTTCTGACTTATGGAGTAAATGATTTATGGAACTATTCTGCTCTTAGAATGCCCACTCCAGGAGATCAGGGACCTTTCTGTCTTTTTCACCACTGTATTCTCATTCCTGGTACATGAAGACACACAATAAATATTTATTAAATAAACTTTGATCTAAAACTCAGTCTATACTGCATACAAGTTGTGAACCTTTAAGATACATAGATATAGATATATAGATATAGGCCATGGTAATTTTTGAACTTAGAATAAAATAGTCATACTCTGAGAATTAGTGTCTTAGTAACTTTTCACTGCAATAAATCTCAAAGAAAGAAATTTAGGGACCTGGAGAGTTACAGCTCAAAGTCAGAGGCATCCAGCTCTTCGGTGCTGGGTGCCATCCACCAAGCTCCCCATGGGCAAATCTAAGGCATTGACAGTCCAAGAGGTAATGTGGAGAAATAGAAATGTGGGCAAAGGAGGAAAAAAAGGAAGGAAGGAAGGAAGGAAAAATCAGGAGAACTGGAAGTTGTATCATCAGAGGCTTCTGATTCCACAGAAACTGAGCTGGCAACTGTGGGTCAGTGTGGGTCTAGCTTGGTCTTTGGAAGGATGAACTACAGCCATATTTTTAAGATGGATTCTTTGTGCCTTGGAGAATTTCACGAGATGGGGGAGATAGGGGCTTCTAAAAGGAATTTCCAAAGGAAAATGAGCAATGTGAGGGAAATGCAAAGAACCATAAAATGTTGCCTCTACTTCCAAAGGAGATCTAGTCTGCTTCTCAGGCTTTGGGCAAGGCTGCACCTCCCTTCTCCTCAACAGTTACAAACATCAAATAAATGAGAACTCCAGTGAGAGGGGGAAATGCACTCATTTGCTGGCTTCCTGAGTTATTGCTGCTTATTGGGGCATCTACCTAAGAAGAAGCATGGCAGTTGCTCTCTTGCTCTCTGATTCAGCTTGGGCAGACAGTGATAAAAATAAATAAGCACATGCATCTATTCAAGGAACATATATGTCCTTGCACCTGAAGATGTACCCCAAAGCTCTTGGTGTCGATGAGACTCCCAGTGACTTGTTTTTTATAAATGATAATGCAGCATTGAGAATATGTGTAATAAGGGGATGGTACCATTGTGAGAGTCACACAATATCAGGTATTTGATAACAAATAAATATTCAAATCTTGTGTTCAAATGCATTAACAGGCATGACCAGAAGGAGAAGCTGGAGGTATAAAAGGCATTAATAGTAAAAGCACCTACGCAAGAGCTGGGTGCAAAACTGTTGCCTGTGCTGAGTGTGGCTGGTGGTAGGGGACAAGGGCTGTCTGATGGTGCTAGGAACATGCCTCAACTTGGAAAGGACGAAGGTCTGTGTCTTAGTCTGTTTGGGCTGCTATAAGGAAAATATCATAGACTGGCTTATAAACAATAAAAATTTATTTCTCACAGTTCTGGAAGCTGAGAAGTCCAAGATCAGGGTGCTAGCAAACTCAGTGAGAGCGGGCTTCCTGGTTCAAAGACGGCTCTCTTTTTGCCCTGTCCTCACATGGTGAGGGAGTTCTCTAGAGCCCCTTAGATAAGAGCACTAATGCCATCCATGAGGGCTGCACTCTAATGACCTGATCCCCTCCCAAAGGCCCCACCACCAAATACCATCACCTTGGAGATTAGGATTTCAATCTATGTATGGGGGGGAGGTTGGGAGGGGGATGCAGGGGCACGAACATTCAGTCTACAGTAGCCTGTTTGTGTGTTTTGCTAACTGCAACTTTTTTAACTGAATAAAATTCTGTGGAATTTTGTGGCATATATCTAATACACGAAAGGTAGTATAAGTGATTAAAGCCAAAGGCTCCCCCATAATGTATGTTTTCAGGTCCTCCATTTGAGGGCTGTGCTTTAAGGGGTACAGCAAGTAAACTAGCAAAATCAATCACTCCCCAAATAGCTCACTGATTGCTGAAAAAATAAACAACCTACCTCAAGAATCTAGGAGGAAAATACAGAAAATGAACAGAATATAGAGACAGAGCTGCAGACATGGAAATAAAAGGGGGTGGGGCAGTGAATTAAAAGGAACAGAACACATGAGAACATAGAAATGAAAGGTACTAGAGACATATTTTTCACCTAAGCTCACACACTGGAACCTGTCATTAGGGTACCTAGTGATATCACGTTATCACCGTGGACAAGCAGGTGCTGTGGCCCAAGGTGAGCTGTCACAGTAGGAAATAGCAAAGGGACAAAGATGCCACTTTGTTGTTTTTGGTTGTTCTTCACTTGCCATTCTCTGGAATGTTACCAGAGGTTTAGGCTAGAAATCGATTTAGTAGAATCAGCTCTGACTAAATTCACTTGAAAGGTGATAGAACCTGAGAATAAGAGGAAATTCAGCCAGCCAACTATTAATTACCCATGCTAATAATGGCAAGTGAACTGAGACCATGACAAACATCTACAGGCCATCCAAAAAAAGTCTATTCTTAGCTTCAGATTTCCACTGTTCTCTTCATTCACTTTCATCATTCCTTTGCCAGGCAAGTTGGCTAATTTTTTAATTAAGGATTTTTTTTTAATTAGGATTTTATCCTAAAATCAGAAATGGAAAATTTAAAGAAAACATTATTTATAGGCTACATCATTTGGGGGCATCAAACGTCTACCTACGAGTCATACTGGATATATGAACTTAGCAACGTTCCACAAAGGTATCTTCAAGTTACTTGCACTGCGTTTGTATATATCCAGTTGAACGGGAAAATAGAATCCTGGCTGATTTTATGTAAAATGGTACTGCTCTTGTTACTGCTATCTGTAGGCTCTGACTTTGATGGCAGCTGGTTCTAATCCCACTCACTGTTCTCAGACGTTTATTCTGTCCAAGGCCCTGAAGGAGAGCTCTACATACTGTATACTAAATGGTTCCACACGCTCTTGATCACAGTTATGTAGACCAGGGCCGGGTGTGGGGAGAGGCAATTTATTAGTGGCCACTGGCCAATTAGATCCACCCTTCAGATCATTTCAGCCAAGGAGCTCAGAGTCGAACTCAACTGTACATTGACCTGGGAGTCATCCAAAACTGCCAAGGGGTCCTCGTGTGATGAAACAGAAAAGGCTGATTGATGTACAGGGTTAGAAAGAATAAAGCAGGTAAACAGAAAGAAGTAGAAATAGAGGACGCGTGATTCCAGAATAATGGAGGTTCCTGACTTTTTTTTTTCCTAGCTCTTTTGAGACCCAAATCAAATTTGTTCCTTTAGCATCTGCGAGGTATTTTAGTGTCCTTAAGGTAAATTTTTTATTTTTCTTTAGGTAGTATAAGAGGGCTTCTGTTCCTGGTCAACAAATGATCCCAGACAAAGACAGATGAAAATGAATCAGAGTTTTGACTATCTTCACTCTGAGTAGAATGAAGTCCTCACCATTTAGTGCTGGATAAGGCATATGTAGGTAAAGAACAGTCTTAATGAAGACAAACTACTATAAAAATTATTTAGATTTGTGAGGGGAAAAAAAACTTTTAAAGAAGAAGATGGTTTAACTATTGAATTACCTTAGGGGAAATGCTTTCCTTATTCAGGAGAGCTAGGGATCTTAAAACCTCTAAAAGCAGAATAGAATACATTGATATTTCTCTGAACAGAATAGTATTAATACCGGGATCACCTACAGGTTAATGCAGGAAATTATTTCATTGAACATTTTTCTAAAGTATCTAGAAGGCAAAGTGCACAAATGTCCTGGTGTGAAAATGTCACTAAATTCTTTCAGGTAGTGAAATGTGAAACAGGAAAGATGGTCATGGCTGGGTGAGCTGTTAAGTAACCCAATACATGAAGGAGACATAATGCATCCTTTTAACACCTGCTATTGGAGGAGTCCGCACACTGCAGTCGATAACAGCGCAGGCCTGACAACAGACAGACTGGGGTTTGATTCCCTGTTCCATCTCTCACTGTATTCTAAGAGGCCTTGACCCCTGAGCAGGC